GCGTCTAAGATGGGACCTGCAGCCAAGCTTCTCGCTTCTCAAGCAACGTTCTGGCCCAGGCTCACCATCAGCAACACCCATTTATCAAAAGTATATTCCAAATGCTGGAATGACTCGTCAGCTTAACCTCGCTCCCTCCTCTCTCGCTCAGGGAGAAAAACCCAAAATCAGCAACTTCTTGACTTTCTCAAAGCTGCTTCTCGTACATTAAGACCTTTTCCATCCTCTAACCATCAAAAAGGCTAGCCTTTAGGAGCTGTGCTTAGAAGAACACCTCCTCACTCCTTACAAGCACTTCCACTCAAGCTCTTCAGCCTAGCAGCCCTTTTTCACACAACACTTACTCATGCATTTAAGTGCCTGCATCCCACTGCCGGTCCAGACTCAGACAGAGCCCAGTAGATTCCCCACCCAGGTAGGCTATTTTGGAGCCATCTTGGCACTCTGCCATGTGCCGTCCATCGTCCACTGGCCGCGCTGCATGCAATCCGACAGACTGACTTGGTGTGACCCTCACCGGAAACTGTGTGCGTTACTTCCAAGTAACGCTGCACACGACCTGGCTGCACAGTTCTTGCTCACTGGCGACAGGCTTCCTGGCCAGAGAGGGCCTGGCCACTGTTATCCACCCTCCAGTAAAATGCCTTCTGGATTACTGGAATAGGGTGTGTGTGTCTTGGAAGACTGCTCAGAAACTTTGCCTGGCCCACAACTCCATAGCTGGATTATTGACTGGGACCACCGGCTGAGCAGAACACGTCTCTACGGCTTTCGGTACAATGCCCGAATTCCTCAGATTCCGGTCCAAAATACATAAGCTCAGGGACAAGTATCTACTCTGCATCCTCCATTGTGAAGACTGAAAACGCTACTTCATTCAGCTTCTCTGCACTCCCTTTGTCCCCTGCTGCTTTCTTGCTTTTGGTACATTTAAAGAATTCTTTATTGTTAGCTTTGATCTTGTTAGCAACGTGCCCCTCAAACTGTTCCTTTGCTTCTCTGATTGCTTGCATCTCCCTTGTGCAAGCTTCTCGTCCTGCCTGTTCTTTTCATTTGGGCAAGACTTCTACTTCTTTGTAAAGTAGGGAATATTGCCAGCGAATGAGGAAGCAGTGAAAGGATGAAGTGGACATGGATATGTACCAAGGAAATAAGCTACTCCCACAATCCTGGCATCCCAGCCAGCTGTTATTCTTCCAGACAACCCCCAAGACCAGAAATAAGCACAGCTGAAAAGAGGAGGATGGGAAGTTGCAAGGACGAGCTTGATGAGTAGGAAGAAAGTTAAACACACCTTCCTGTCTGCTACTCTCAGGGTTATATAACCGACTTGCGAATGCAATAAAACATTAAAATGCATTTGCACACATTTAGAGAATCAGGTCCTCCTTTGCCCAAAAGACACAATTTGCCCCAACAGTGCTGCAAATATGCTTATCCCAATTCTCAGTGGGCACAACTATTTTGCACTGATTTCCAGGCACCGTGAAAAAGCCCTTGCCATGTCCCATTTCCTATTGCTAGACTGGAAAGACTGCCGAAGTCCATGGAAACGGATTTCCCAGAGTCACAGACCCCCGTGTGGCACGAAGGACCTGTTTGTTGTACCCAAACTGCAGTGTGTTCAGGAGGAAAGGGGGCAAATGGCAGGCCAACAGCCAAGTACCTATGCCCTCAATGGGATTAAAAACAGGAATCCCCACACTCTCATGTGTGTGTGCGCCCTACATTTCTATAGTTGCTTCTTCTAACCTTGCATTAAGTGCTTGTGGGGAGGGAACCAAAATGGGGCCCACTGAGAAAAAAGAGGGAGGCATCAGAATGCTCAGCAAGTATAAGAAGAAGAAAAACTCTTCAGGAAAAACCTACCGGGTTGAAGAAACCCCAAAGGCAGCCAGGACGGAAGGAGTACGCCCAGTGGAGACAGGATGCTAAAAGTCTGTTAAGGGGAGTGGAAAAGGGGAGAAGAGTGGAAGGCTCTGCCTGGAAGAAAAGCCTCTTTGGATCTCTGAGCAGGAACGCGCCTCATACAATAAGCTGCAACATTTTGCTGCGGTTCCCACTGGTTTTCTCCAGTGTCTCTTCCCGGGGCTCATGCTTTGCACAGCCCCGGCTTGGTGTGCTTCCACTGCACCCACACATTCCTTTTCTTCTCCCTCTTCCCACCCCCACTCCCCACTTTAAATGAACACAGGCTCTCCAGAAGACTTGCAGCTCTCTTGACCTATCACACCTCCAGTGGTACACGCGAGAGAGTGTTAGTCAGCATTTTATTCTAGCTCATTAATGACCTCAACAGGGAGTGAGAAGCAGAGCCGAACACTTTGATACTTCCCGTAGACCCAAAAAAGAAAAAGCGGGGGAATGAAGCAGCGTTCGCAGCTCGACAAAAGGGTTCTGAAAAGAAGAGGCTGAAATAGAACCATTGAAGAGTGTTTCAAAACCTGACTGATGAATACATAATTATTCGTACCAGCACATCACATTTTTATTCACCAGATACTTAAAGAATAATTCAAAACTATAGATTTCTATCTTAATATTATATTGCTGCTGCTACATTGTGGGGTTTTATGGAGTTACTGCTGTTTGCAATTTTTTTAGGGTTGTTGTTAGCGTTTTGTGTTTTAATTGGGTATTTTAGTATTGGTATTTGGGGTTTTAATGCTTGTAAACTGCCCATAGAGCCCTCTGGGTTCTTGGGGCAGTACATAAATGTGATTGATAACTAAATAACTAAACAAACAAACCATGCCTGGCTGCTGTGTTTTATTATCAGAGTATAATGACCCACTTAATAACCTGGGGGCCTTTGTGGGGAGGACATAAGCATTAATGAAAATACAAGACTGCCATCCAAATGGGCAGCGCTTGTTCTGCCCCTCCTCCAGTCCCCGCAAGCCACAAGAAGGGAAAGGGGTGGGCACCAGCACTTCACCTGCCTCTTACCCCCGCGCACGGAGCACTGGAAGGTCCGCCAGGGCGCAGGATCTACCACCAGCCCTGTACCGTGTTCACACTACGATCAGCCAATGCCGTGGGAAGCAGGATGGAAATGCAATGGCACCCTCCATTCCCATGTTCCCCAGCAACCTTTGGATTCACAGCTGTCCCAGAAGGCTGTCCAAAGAGAGCCGGGAGACAGAAGAAGGCCCATTCTACCCGCCCAGGTAAAACAATTCAGGTTTCCCGCTTCCATTCTGGATCAAAATGGTTTACGATACAAGTTACACCAAAGCATAGTGTGATTTAGTGTGATTACGTGTCTGCACAACGCAAAGAGGCAGTGATCTGAAGCCAATGCTGAGTTCCTAAGCAGTTCTCCGATTCTTCCCAAACGAGGCTCTTCCTGAACTAGGAAGTCATTCATCCGGGGTCTCCTGGGCACGCGCACTAGTCAATCGACTCTGTAATTCAACTCTGTCTCTCTCTTCCTCCAGCTCAATACAGAAGTGCAAGTTATTCTTAGGAGAATAATTTCCCTTCCAGACAGTTAGTTCAAACCGAAAGGTAGCCAGAATGAACCAAGCAATCCACTGGGAATTTGACTCTCACGTTTTATGGAAGAGAATGAGAAATCAAGGAAGATTCCAAGTATGAAAACCAAGCATCCCTCACTTTGCTCACATTTTGGCTGCGGGTACGGAATGCCATTTCCAAAGGCTTGCCCATATTACACGGAAACCAACTCCCTGCAAGTGGAGAATTAGCATAACAGGGCCTGAACTGACACCCCGAAGCGCTAACTTTTTACTTGCAAGGAGTTTTGTAAAATGGAGAAGGAGCCTTCCCCTCCACCTGCCGTCTGAAGTGATACCGCCCCCTTAATAACCTTCTGTCAAGTGCAGATCAGGTCATTTCCTTCTCTCACCAAAAGTTAAATAAAATCCTCTCCCAAGCCTGCCCCAACAGGTGCCTGGGCTGCCAATGCCAACCCCTTTGGTACATGGTGGAATCATAAATGCAAAACCAAGATCTTTTCTCAGATGTCTCCCAGGGTCTACAATTCACTGCATCACCACTGTGGCAAATAATCAATTAGGTGTTCGTGGCAACCACTGACATAGAAAATGACCCATGCTCAGAATCTTGCATTTGCGCCACAGTCGGGTACTCCTCTTCCCCACTGCTTGAGAACAAATGTGCCTTCTAGAGAAAATGCTACTCTGCTCTGCAAACTCTGTTCAGCAGGCTAAACCTCAAGGAACCCGGTCTGGGTTTGGTCTGGACTGTGACAACCAAGTGCAGAACAAATCCTGCACTGCCCAAATGTTTCCCTCTTAAAAAAGATGCCAGTGAAGACGCACTGAGGCTGAGAACTGCAGAAGGTGTGCATGCACATCCCACGCCTCCAATACTCAGTACTGTCTCTGTTTCACTGGAGGAGAACTCAGAGTCCAGCAACAGGCCAGCGGTGATGCTGCCTTCCTCGAAAGAAGAGAGAAAGCAAAGCCATTTATGCAGACCGCCCAACTACGGCCACCAACAAGACCCCTGTGTGCTTTAATAACGGTGCAGCAGGCAGTCCTGCGATCATCCATTAGGCGGATGGAAGCATCCCTGTGCCCAAGGGCAGCAGCAGTACCTGAGGATTAGCCACACGGGTGCCTCCGGTGCTAATGTCAAGGTCTGAAGAGGAGGCCACTCCATCCAACCCGTACTGCTCTTCCCCATCAACCCACTGCATGCAGCACATCAACTTTCGCCTGGAGAAAGGCATATTTCAATGCCTCTTTGTGCAGGCGAGACGCTTTCACAGAAAGCCTGGGAGACACAACTGCTCTGTAGCTGCTACGGCACCATCTGTACAAAAGGAGAGCAACCACGGCGTCCCCGCAATTTCTGCTCCCCTGAGTAAAAGAAGCCTTTCCTCCTGAATGCACCACATACAAAGGATGCACGGTGCCATCGCTTCCGTAACAAGCGGCGCGCCTCGACCGGCTGCAAAAGCAATGCTCGCAGCTGCACCCTCCTTAAGAAAAAATCAAACGCGGACCCACCATTCATCCCATTGTAGAGGCTCCTGTGATGGGGCGAGAGATCGTCCGCAACCTGTCTCCGTAAGGTGCCTTCCCTGCTGCCAACGCCCAAGTGCTTGAGGTGCTCCGGGCTTCCCCCATAGTGCTGTTTGAGGTGCTCGGGGCTGGTGCCCCGCACTTTCGAGAGGTGCTCTGTGCTCCCACTGAGGGTGTGTTTCTGCAGGAGCTCGGGACTCCCGCCACCGCCGCCACCGTGCTTCTGCGGCTCTGGACTGCTCCCAGGCCTGTGCTTCGGGAAGTGCTCCGGGCTGCCACTCAGCATGTGCTTCGGCAGGGTTTCCGGGCTGCCGCAGCCATGCTTCTGCTGCTCCGCCGCACCTTTGCCGAGAGTCTTGTGATGCTCCGGGCTCGGCCCCTTCAGGTGCTTCTGGGGATCAGGGCTGGCAGAAGCCCTGGGCTTGTGGAGGAGCTCCGGGCTGGCACTCCTGTGCCTTTGGTGCTCGGGACTGCCCTCGCCCCGGGGCTTCTGGAGGTGCTCGGGACTCGAGCTGGGGTGATGCTTGTGGTGGTCGGGGCTGTCGGTGCTTCCGGCGCTGGAGGTGCTGCTCCCGTCCCCCACATCCCGAATGAACGCGCTGGCAGCGCTTAACTGGCAGAGGCTGGCCTGGCTGTCGATGGAGTTCCTGCAGCCGGCCACGCCAGCCTTGTCTTCGTCCAGCAAGACGCACAGCTCCTTCAGCTCCAGGTTCTCCTTCACCACCTCCTCCTGCCTCACCTCCAGCTCCTTCAGCTTCTGCAAATATAAGGCCACCTCTTTGTGCATCACGCCGGTGCTGTACCTGCCGAGCCTCTGCCACTCTCGGGAGACCTTTTTGCCTTTCTGCCGGTCGTCGTCCAAGAAACAGCAAAGGTCCCGCAGCTCCTGGTTGTCCTCCTGCAGCTTCTGATTGATGTCCTTCAACAGACAGAGGGGGAGAGAGAACCAACACCAGGTATTATCAAGGGAAGGCTCAATATGCCACTCACGAGAGCAGAGCAGGCATCCCGCTGCCTTCCACCTGCCATGGCAAACACCATTTAAGACGGCCCAGGAGTGTGTGCTCAAGACACTGGATTGTTGGATTTTCTGGACACGCTTCACGTTCTCACCCACCCCCAAGTCGATTCCACTTCAAGCCTGTCTTCTCTCCCAAGTCCTCTTTCTCTTTCTTCCCAAATTTCCATGCCTCACCATCTAAGCCTCTGGGCCTGTCTTCCCTAATCTGGTGCCTGCCAGATGTTTTGCATTACAAGGCCCATCATCCCCAGCCAGGCACATGGAAGGCATGTATCCATCATGACCAATGCATGGGCTAGGCAGTCTTAACAACTGGAGGGCACCGAGCGGGTCAAGGAAAGCCTGGGGAAACTTTGCTGAGTGAAAGAGCATCTCAGAGAGAAGAGCGAGCAGGCTGAAAGCAAGGCTGCTGCTGAGTCCCCGACATGCCCGTCCTTCCGTGCAGGTGACGTGTTTCCCCGGAAGTGACCCAGGAGTTAACCTAGCGGGAGTCTGAACCACTGGCCAAGCCTACTTCTCATCCAGGATGCCGTCCCATGTGCTCTGCTTCCCATGCTCTGTGCCAGTAAAGCCAGTCCAGCCCCACATGAAAAGGAGCACTAATTTCCTTGCCATGCTCCATGCGCTGTATCAAGAAGAGCTGCTGCACAGGGCGTTTTCCCTTCCCGTTTGCCACTTAAAACTGGATGCCTGCATGTGGGTTCATTTGCTTACAAGAAGAGACCCTGCCCCCCCCACAAGCCGAAAAACATCATTTAGATAAACTATCCAAATCGTCTAGACCTCCCTATATATTTTCCCCACAAGAGGAAAAATATTTTTGACAGTGCAAAATTTGACATAACATAACTGAGGTTTATCATAAAGCACATGAGAGATTAGGAAAAATGCTCAGCGAGAAGCAAGCTCAAGCTTAAAACAGTCCATCCTTAGGAAGAAAAAACCAGGAAAACGCCGGTTTTAAATCTTCCACTTGAAATGGGAGGAGTGTGGTGTAATAGTTTGACTGTCGGGCTGGGACTTGGGAGATCCAGGTTCTAGTCCCCACGTGCCCAAGAAGCTCGCTGGGTGAATTTTAGCCAGTCACGGATACTCAGCCTATCCAACCTCATAGGGTTGTTGTGCTGAGGATAAACCAGAAAGAAGCAGGGCCATGTGAGCCCACGTGGTCCCTTGCAAGAGGAAAAAAAGCTGGGATGTAAATGAAAATACTCATTTTAAAATAAAAGAAAAACGCATGCTTTATTTATTAGAACATTTTTCTACCTTCCAGCAAGAGTGTTCCTTAAGCTTTTTGCTCCCTCTTTTCCTCCCCCTCACCAAGACAAAGGCAGGAATGGGGTGAATTTCCATTTCTGCTACTGCAAACTCTGGTCAAACCCTGCTGGACTTCCAAGGAGAAAGAAAGCAGGGCAGAAGATGGCCTTCACTTCCTGATCTGAATGCTCCTAAAGTGGCATTCACAAGACTTAAGGGAAAGCAGACACAACATTAGCTGAATATTCGTATTAAACATACTGCTGGCAGTGCTGCATAGCATCAACTTTTGGATGGTGCAATCTTTTCAGGATCACATCAAGCCTTGAGGATCACGCCAAGTCTGAACGTTTTTCCTCCCCGGCTGCAAACCAGAGGGCGATCTGACATGTGCAGGTGCCATTCCTATTGAGGGGGGGATTCCCCAGACTACATGTCATGTGGAGTTCCTTGATTCACATCATTCGTTTATCCCCAGCAACCCAGAACCAGTGGCCTCTCTCACTCTTTTTCATCTACTCATTTTCCAGCTCAAAATCAGACCCCCTCCGCCCCCGAATGCTTTTTCACTCCATGGCAGGTTCTTCACCTCTTTGAGGGTTTGAAAAAGCAACTTACAGTGTAAAATATCAGGCTAGAAAACAACCACAGAAAAGAAAAATGGATTCAACAGCTTCTTCCCCAGCCGTCTTTTGTTCAGCTGCAATCTAATTCAGGCTGCTTCGGCTTAAAAAGATGCATGGGGGAAAAGTATCCAAGGACACCGTTTAACATGAATTTGAGCCTTAGTGGCCTTCAGGTCAATCGACTGCATCATTTCAGTGTTTTATATCCCTCCTCTGCCAACAGGATCAATCGCTGACCAGGGTTGCCACTAAATACAGTCATCCAGAAAGAGCTGGGGAAAACTTTTTCAAGCAAGTCCTCCTCCCCTGCCTCTACAGGATTAGAGCAATGAACTCACACACACACACACACACACACACACACACAGGTTTTCATCTGGAGGGTCAATTAATATATGCATGTATTTATTTAATTTCTACCCTGCCCATTAGCCAGTATGATTCTGTGGGCAGCTTAATTATCTCTACCACCCAGAAACAATTTAGAAAGCAACCAGGAAAAGAGATCCTGCCCAAAGCACGAAGCTCGCCTGCATGAGTAGAAATAAAAACTGGGGGAAGCTCCCACAATAACATGGGTGATTATCAACACTTTTGGTGAAAAGGCTGTAGGGTTGCAGCTTTGTGTGCCCAAGGGTCCAAAACAGAACCCAGATTTAGCATGGATGCCAGGAAGTACTTCCTGACCGTTAGGCCCCCTAGGCTATGGAATGGACTTCCACGGGAGGTGGTTGAAGCCTCATCAGTGAGGGTGTTCAAGGACAGACTAGATATGTACATGGTAGGCATGTCAGGAGTGGAGCTGGCTGGAGCTGGGGGTCAGACTAGATGGCCCGGGAGGGTCCTTCTGACTTCCTCTGTTTCTATGTTCTTATCTCCAAGCAGCGGAAGTGGCAAGGAGTCCTGCCAGAAACCCTAGACAGATGCTGCCAGTCAGTGTTTTAGATGGACCAAGGTCCTGGTTCAGTTCGAGGCAGCTTCTTCCATTCTTACGAGTATGTACATACTGGCTCAGCCAGGCTCTTGCTCAGCTGATCACCTACAATGCATAAAGATCACCTCCAGGTGACCAGGTATTTTTGCAAAAGGTGCCAGTGGTGCTTGTTTTGCTTTGTTTACAACTGTGAATGTCTGACTGAGGGATGTGTGGGCACAGGAGATGGAGGAGCATTTAAGAACGGACAGGCTAGCAACCTTTGCAGGGTTGAAACAGTGTTGGACACAGAAGAACGGGCACTTTGCCATGCCCAGCTCTCTTCCTGGACAGATGTGCATGCTGTGAAGCTTTAGCAGAAAAATGTGAAGGAAGAATCAGGGGAGCAGAAGGCATGGAGGACTGCAGGTGGGCATTCCTCTGAGAACAGTGGGAAGACACGAATAGAAGCAGTGCTTCTGAGGATGCCACCGACCTCCTCTGCATCCCGCCCTTCCTCCAGTGAATCCAGGCCACTGGAAATGCAGAGATCTCTCTCCATCTGCTGCTCTTTCGTCCACACACCAGACCTGTGATGCAGATTCGCTGGTGCAAAAGTGACTGGCCCAAAGTGGATCCGACCAGTCAACTGCCTGTCTGTTGGGCCTTTCTTCCCCAACCCGGTGCTCCTCAGAGCTGCTGGACTGCAATGCATTCCAGTTCAGTAGTTCACAGCTCCAGTTCAAAGGACGTGGTAGCAAGTAAAGGGAAAGACCCACCTTTGCCTGATGAGCTGCTACCAGTCAGAGCAGGCAGCACTGAGTTAGGCAGACAGTCCCAATGGGAATATACAGCAGTTCCTTAAGGAGCTTGCTGTCGCTTGCGGGCCACTGTCTAAGGGTCAGAGCAAGTTGTTCAGTAACACAGGCCAGCATGCAATGGATCATGGAAGTGCGTCTTTGCTCAAGTGTGTCCTCCTTCCATCTTACAAATGCCCAGTTCTTCCCACTCCCCACAAGAAAAACCCACAACTTTCCCCCAGCCAGCACGCCATAGGCCAGGGGTAGGCAGAAAGTAGTTCTCCAGATGTTTTGGACACCAAGTACCTGCTTTCCTGCCCATTAGGCATGGTGACAGAGCACTCTGGTGTTTGAAGGCGCAAACATCTGGAGGTCTACCTTCTGCCTTCCCCTGCTGTGGACAACCAGGGAAAGCTGCAATGGTTTATAGGAATAACTGTTCCTCAACTTTCCTAGCTTTTGTTTGCCAGTTGGTGGCTTCCTATAATACCCTGGAACTTTTAGCAGATCAGCACATCTGCACATGGACTCACAGACACAAAAGTGGGGCTTGTGATCTACATTTCACAGCTCATGATGCAGCAGAAGGGAAAAAAGAATCAAGGAAGACAAAAGGTATCCAGTCACTAGATGCAGCCCCATGTACCAGGACAGCCGTTGCCGCTCCAGATTGTTCGGGAGACCCCTAATCGGAAGTCAGCCAATGCTCCAGTTAACCCAGTCTTGTCTCGGATTCCAGAAAAGAGGAAGAGGCGGGCAGAGACTGCCCCAGGTGCCTGCTAACACCTGGCCCATGCTCTGAGCCGGGCCACCCAGCACCGTCTGCCCTGCAGCGAGCTTCCTTATCAACTACGCAATTTTAACACTGCTTTCCGGGCTGTTTCTCTATCTCCACATTACTTTTCAGCCCCCATAGGAGTTATATCATGAAGGGCAGGATATCAGTATTTGTAATAAGTATCAAAGGGTCCTGCAGCACCTTAAATACAAGCCAACTTATTATGGGATGAGCTTTGTGGATGCTGGCCGCTGCATTTAACACACCTGATCAAGGTGGGCTAGGTCTACGAATGCAGCTGTAGGTGCCACCAGAGCCTTCGGTGGTTTTGTTACAATAGCACATCACAGCCTCTGCAAAGTCTAACCCGTAAATGAACTCTAGTTCTCCAGGGTCCCCGAAAGATGTATTTCCAAGCCCGGCTACCCAGAGGTCTTCACTGGAGATGTGGTCAAAGCAGTAACCATTTATCAAAAAGGATGACATTGCCATATATATTTAGCCATTGCCTGCGCATGTATTTCACTGCATGCACAAGCAATGGGAAGGTGCACCTGTACCCCAGTGTCCTCCCCTTTCCCCACACCCTTGCCATGCACGCTGCTCCTGCAGTGTACTAAGTAACCGTGCAATCGTCACAGGTGACCATCTGCACGCTGGGCTGCGTTCCCTCCAACACAGAGGTGATTTTGCAGAGCACAGAGCTCGAAGGGAGCAGACTTCAGACATACTCAGAGGTGGTCTGTTCACACAGCAATCAGAACCCAAGTCCTGAGGAACCTGTTTCCATGCCAGGGGGTGGTGGAAGCAAAGCACAGACAATCCTACTGTGAGGTCAGCCCTGGTAGGCTGATTCATCTGGAAGGTCTGGGGGTACCAGTGTGGTGAGCTGGTGTGGAGGTTAGAGTGCTGGACGGGGGACCTGGCAGATCTGGGTTCTAGCCCCTACTCAGCCATAAAGCTCACCAGGTGACTTTGGGCCAGCCACTCCCTCTTTGCCTAACCTACCTCACAGGGTTGTTGCTGTGAAGATAAAATGGACCTCTGTAAACCACCTTGGCTTCCTCACAAGAGGACAAAAGGTGGACCATAAATGCAAGCTATTAATTAATTGTAACAGGTGGCAGATTAGGAGACAGAAATCTCACCCATGATGGGGAAACAGCCGCCAGGGAATGCACAAGAAATAATGACACGGACAGAATCCTGCCCCAGAGCAAAGGCTGTCTTAGGGGGGAATTCTGTTAGCACAGGAAAACCATCTCAGCAGAGGCATTTGGAGCTGCTCCGCCAGGGAGAACTTCTAGCCACTCTGGTTTCCTCCTTGCAAGGGAAAAGATGGGATACAAAAGGGATACACGCAATTCCCCCAGAGGGACACCTCTTGACTCACAACCCACGCCCCAAGGCTCCTCCCCATCCCCATCCAGGAGGTGGGTGGCTGCCGCTTTACCTTGAGCCCCCGAATCTCGCCCAGGTGCAACTGCAGCCTCCGGTTGACCTCCCGGATGAGGTTGCTGTGGTCCAGCATGGCGCTCATCTTCTCAGCCTCAGCCTTGCGCAGGCTCCGGATCAGCTCCTCTTTACTCCACTGGAGCAGCTCCTCATCAGACACCTTGGCGAGGTCTTCGGCCGGCCCTGCCCCGCAAGTCTCTGCCCCCGCTGCCGACCCCCCTGTGGCCACGGCTCCCGCTCCGGCTGCCGCCACCTTAGACATGCTGGCGGACGAAGCGGCCTCTCAACTCCAGGGAAAGTCCAGCGGAGCCGAGCCAAGTCCCGGCAGGGCTCAGCAGGCGGTTCAAGGCCGCTCTCCCGGCTCCGATGCCAGAGAGAAAAGCCCCCCACCACCCCGACCCCCGATAAGTGGAAATAATCCTCCCCCCTCAGCCCTGACAATCCCTCCCTTCCTACACCAGATCCCTCATGCCTTTCCAAGGAATCGGAGTGACTAGCACCGAGATCTTTGCAGTGAAGGGGAGGGCGAACTTTTCTCTCCCACGCCCGCGTTTTTTAATGAACTTTTTTCTCTGCCGCTGCTGGTCGATCAGAAAAGAGGCGAGGCGCCCTCGGGCAAGCGAGGTATCCTTGCAAGTTTATTGCGGGGTGAGCAGGGACTGAATCCTCTACGCCCCGGTCCGGTTCCTCATGGATGCTGTACATGGAGTATGACCCTGGGGGTGGCGAGCAGGGGAAAAAGCATGGGAGGGGGGAGCCCCACTTGGACGGGCAGCTAAGCTGAATGACTTTCAGTCCCCACCCTACCAGTTATCTGCTCCTCAAAGTTCCACCTGGGGAGCATGCAGGTCTGCACACGAGCTTGTCTTCACGTGTAGGGTGTCCCGAGTGGGGCACGGCCACGCAATCGATCCTTTCACGAGGTCCGCACACATGTAGCCCTCCTTCCCGAGCAGGCTGCGATAGCAATCGAGTCAGGTAGTCCGAGCCCCATTAAGCGCAGGCGAAGGAATGTGGCCAGGCGCGCTGCCGGCGACCATGTGTCTTTCAAAGATTCTAGACCTTCGTGAGTTTGGGTTTGGCTTTGCTGTTCAGCGGGGAGAAGAGCGGCGTGATGACTTTGCTTTCTTCGGAGCGACAAGAATCACCGGGGGCGCAGAGCGGAAGCTGCGGAACGCGTCCCGTCGGAGGGAGCGGCGGCGCGCCCGGCCCTCCCCTGCGAACCGGGGCCGGGGAGCGGCGGCCGGAGCTTGGGACGGCGCGGGGGGCGGAGAGGAAAGCGCAGGTGCTGCTTCTTCCCGGAACAAGGCGCGCTACCCAGCGGGCGCGCCTCCTCTCGGACGCGCCGGGCGGCTCCAGGCGCGGGAATCCTCGCCGGTCGACGGCTGAGCAAGGCGAGCCGCGTCCCGGGGCAGCGGAGGAGCGGGGCGGGGCGGCGACGGAGCGGTGGCCCGCCCGCACCCACGCCGCCCGCTTGGCCGGCCGGCCGGCCGGCTCGCGCGCGCCCTCCTCCCGGGGAGCGGCGCTCGGCGGCCCGCGAAGCCGCTCGAGACGGGCGCGCTGCCGGCCGGCTGCCGCGATCGTGCTCCGGCGGCGCCCCCGCCCCGCACGGAGAGCCCCTCCCCC